AAGAACATTTATTAATCTAAGTATTTAAAATAAGCTATTCAAGTTCATGAATATTTACTATTTAATTTTATTTTATTTGCATTAATTTAGTCTGTAAGCATAAAGAACATTTATTAATCTAAGCATTTTAAATAAGCTATTCAAGTTCATGAATATTTACTATTTAATTTTATTTACGTTAATTAGTTCATGAGTATGAAGAACATTTATTAATCTAAGTATTTAAAATAAGCTATTCAAGTTCATGAATATTTATTATTTAATTTTATTTCATTCGCGTTAATTTAATTCGTGAGTACAAAAACATTTATAATCTAAATATTTAAAATAAGCTATTCAAGTTCATGAATATTACTATTTTAATTTTCATTTTATTCGCATTAATTAGTCGGTAAACATAAAATTAATGTGCTCGATTTAAAAGCAACATAAACAATGCTAATACAATACATTTAATAATTATAAAGATATTCACATTATGGAAAATGCACACATTGTAATGAATATAACACAGGGAAAGCATGGTGTCAGATATGTGATCTCTCCATAACAATTCGAGAATGGACAAGTGGAAATAAAGATATTGATAATTGTATGAAAGGGCTTCAACTTAGAACTAATGGTTATGAAAATATGATTGAATGGATTCTGTTTGATAGACTAAATAATATTAAAGAAATTGGTAAAGGAGGATTTGGCACTGTATTTTATGCGACCTGGTTAGATGGTATACGAAAAATTAATGGTGGTTGGGATAATTATACATGAACACGTGAGCCATCTAGCATTGTTGCACTCAAGACCTTATCTTGTTCCAAAGAAAATCCTCATGATTTTTTGAAAGAGGTACACTAAGTTAAATCATTATACGGTTTATTAAGCACATAAGGAACTAATTTATTTCTATAAATTTATAACAAAGTTTGACAGTCATATGAAGTGTAGACTCTACAGTAGTCAACTCAATATATATGGATTGACTCAAAACACTGAAACAAATAAATACTTGATGGTATTTCAATATGCCAATAACGGAAGTCTTCATGAGTTCTTAAGAAAAAATTTTCATGATCTTACCTGGAAAACTAAATTAAAGCTGCTTAAAGATATTTCACAAGATTTAACTTTAATTCACGGAGCGGAATATATTCATGCAGATTTTCACAAATAAAATTAAATAGTAAATATTCATGAATAGTTATTTAAATAGATTAATAAATGTTCTTTATACTTACGGACTAAGTTAATTTGAATAAACCAATTTTGAATTTTGAGTATTGAGCATATTATTTAATAGAAATTACCATGAACAATTTCAATCAAATGATTTTATAATTCATAAATTGATCATTATACTTACTCCCTAAAGGATTAAATAGTTTTTAAAAATTTCTGCAAAATTCAAATGGATTAATGAAAACTTTGGAAAATTAAAATACTTGTCAATCCAATTCCTATATTTGCCCATACTCTTTTCCACACCAATTCCGTAATAGTAACAAATGGCAGTTTTAAAAATTCCCATAGTATTACCAGCCTCGGCAGATTTTAGGTAGTACGTAAACGCTTTATGCTTATATATTTCAACCCCAATTCCTAAATAGTAACAATAACCAACTTGATACATTCCGTTAGGATTATTCATCTCTGCTGATATTTTATAATGAATGAATGGCTTATTCTCATCCTTTTCAACTCCTATTCCATATTCGTAACAATATCCAAGCCAGAATATTCCATCTGGATCATTTACACCAGCTGATTTTTGACAATCGATGAATTTCAGTTGATTAAAAGTATTGGTGAGTTTAATAATTTCACTTGATGAGTTATCGTCTTTCGTATCTGACATTTTATATCCACTATGCTGTATGAGAAGAATGAAATGTAACATTTGGTCAAACTATATACTGTATCACAAATATATAAAATACAGTACACTCGTACGTGCTTCGTAACACTAAGTAATCCGTACTTGTTAGTCGATAAATTAATACTATATATCATACATGCTAAAAACTTTATACGTAGATCTAAAACTAAATATTAAGTCTGTAAAGTCATTTGCATTAACATAGTACTAGTGATTCAAGCTGATTAAATTTTTTATGGCTCGGCTAAGCCTTTAAAAATTTTTTTATTGGCTTTAGCCGCTTGGCTAATGATTAGTGATTGAAGCTATATCGATATAAACCTTCTCATTTATTTAAAGAGTTTCTTAATATTTAAATTTTGTTAAGTTTAGGAATAACAAAACTATATAGAATACTAAATCGTCAATTTAGAAAATTATGCATCAAAAGAGTAAAATAATTGATAAAGCTACATAGCACCTTCTTGATACATAATTTCATATTTGTCAAATTTGGCATCAGTAACGGTCATTATGATTAGCCGACTAATACCCCGATCACTATATCAAGATCACGGGGTATTATTATTACTAATAAAGCTAACTGCCAGCTAAGAAACTGAGCGACTGGCCGAACGGTAAGCTAATCAGCTGGGTTTTTGTCGATCGTCTAATAGTGCAGCAAATCGAATTTAAAAAATAATGCTAAGGGAGCTTCCACTTATTAGGTATATATAGCCCCCTCCAGAGTCAGTCATTTGACAATTACAAGTTCTAAAGTAATCATAATATAAACTCTATACGATTGGTTATTTTAGAGCTTACAATTGTCAAACGATTGATTACTTTAGAACTTGTAATTGTCAAATGACTGACTCTGGAGGGGGCTATATATACCTAATAAGTGGAAGCTCCCTAAGTTCATAAATAAAGAGATAATTTTCAAATCGTACAAGTCTTTAGAATTTGAAATGTCACATCAACATTTCTTTGATTGAGTTTTATAATCTAGTTGCAGTTTTTTAAAATGATATTTTAGGTATGACTCAACTTTTTTGATGTTTAAGGACTCTACGGATCGGTAGAATTCGTTAGAATGTACGTAGACATTTGAATTATTTTTTTTAGCAGACAAGCCCGATTGGCTGCAATATTATTATGTGAATTATTTGTAAGAATTTTTAAGCGGCTTTTGTAATTAACCAGCAAATATACCAAAATAGTTAAATTTATATTAGAATATAAACCTTTTAAAATTGTTAGGAATATAACATATTATTTGAGTGCTGGGAATATGAAAGAATCAGCACCTCAAAAAAGACCTATAAATATTTATCGTAGACAAAGCTTTTCAGCATTGACTGGTGAAGGAAAATCACATAGAACTAGAAGTTTAACTTTTGATGATAAGCCAAATTCAAACTTTCAGGGACATAGCATACTAGATGGACTGTCAATAGAAACCCTGTCATCGGGCTTTCAATGTTCAGTTGGCTTTCTGCATGCAATCTATTCCGATGATATATTGTCCATAGATGGCATACAGAAAGCCAACTGAACATTGAAAGCCGATGACAGGTTTTCTATTGACAGCACTCATTTAATATTTGAATAAACATTTAAAAAAAATAATTTTTTAATTAAATATCCTTATTTGAATAAGCATTTAAATTAGATCAATTATATAAATAATAATATGAGTAAAAATTACACCTTTAAAGCAATTAACTCAATAATCTAAATCCCAATATATAATAAGTAATAAATTTATCCAATAATAAATACTGTAAGCTTAATATATGATAGGTTCACTTTGTAAAGTTGCTATTATAGCGCAATTAGTTTTAAATAAATAAATATATAGCATAATTCTTGAAATATAAATACCTTTAATTGTACTTGATATTCTTTGAGTATTTGTTATTTTTAGTGTACATAAATCTGAATGTTTTGGTAAGATAATTTGCAATGTTTTTGATAATTTTATCAATATTTAAGAATTGCTTTTTAATTTCATTTGCATTATCTGAATCCTTCATGATTTTATTCCATTCGAAAAGTTTATAAAAACTTCAAAAGCAGGAGGTCGTTTTTGTGGATCCAAATCCATACATTTCTTATTCAATTCAATATAGCAACTAGCAAACTCTAGCTGCAATCCGTTGCAGATCTTTATTGCAAGTTCAATATCAAGATTTTGAAAATTGTTTCTTAAAAACTTACGAAGATTTCCATTATCGGCATATTGAAATAATCCATCTATATATAATTTGCAGTTGGATAGATAAACGCTATAAGATAAACACTATGAGACAAAATCAAATCTGATTGGCTCTGTTTTTTAAATCATAACAGACGAATAACATAAGGATTGATAAGTGTCATCAACCTAAAAAAGTTTCGCTAACATATCTGATCTCAAATTTTGATTTGACCGGATAATGAAATTGGTTAAGGTGGTGACGCTTGGATAGTTATGGAGAGGTAAACAGTTAAACTAATATTAGGAGATGAGACTACCGATGCTAAGATGATGATTGTCACATTCAATAAATTTATAAAGGATCAAATTTTTTTAATGGATCACGGCACATGACAGTTGAATTTTTAGCATCTGTAGTCCCATCACTAAGTAGGAGTATATAAAAATATTCGTGACAAAGCCACGGGCCATAAGCTAGTACTAAAATAACCAATTACGGTTATTTCATGAATAAGTCGAAGTTTCGGCCACATGTATTTAATCAGTCACACAATATTATGGAGGGTTATTATCGTAGTGATAAATTTTAAAATTATTTCGTAAACAGCTAAAATTCTAGAATTTAATACAATTCGAATAATAGTAAAATTCAAATTATAATATTTAAAATTAAAAATGCTGTTTCATCATCACATATTAAGAAGCGAACCCCTGTATGAAAATCTCCAGATCCTTCTTATTAACTCCCCAAATTCGAATTCTTGAATACCCACACCACAAAATTTTCTTGTTTTTGTGGAACAAATACAACCAACAGCAAATTGAATCTTAGAATGATAGTCAGTGTTGCTAGCATAGTATTCTTTCTCGAAAATTTGGTTCTTCGCTTATTCTATCAGAGTTACAATTGATGATTCTTTTATCGAACTCGACATAATAGATGGATCTTTCAGTTGACACCCACATGTCGGTCCGGCCTCGACTTGATGCATCTTCGCTTCGGAATGGATGTCCAATGTATCTTGTATATATTAAGTCTACTACCGTGGAATCTACATTTCATATGGTTGTAAATTTACAGAAATAAATTAGTTCAATATGTATTTAAAAAACCGTACAATGATTTAATTTACCTCTTTCAAAGAACCATGAAGATTTTGGTGGATTTATGTAACTTTGACATATAGGAAAATATTTATATAAAGGGTCCCGTATGTTTATAACTTGATCGGTCTTGAGTGCAACAGTACTAGATGGTACACGCGATCTTACATATAAATAGTTATCTTTGCCGTTGTAAACCCTGTAAGAAATTTTATCCGAATATTTCCATTATATTTCCATATTTTTTGCGAAAACTCCGTGAATCTGCAACATGATCGACAAAAAATCTAGACAATAATCTCCATGGTTTAAGGTTATAAATTCCGTGAATATGCAACATTTACGGAAAAAACATGGAATATAAAACATGAATCGACTTTTTTTATAGGGAAGAATCGTCATAATAAGCATCGTCATCAACATCATCAACCTCACTATTATCTGTTTTCTTAAAATTTTTAATCATCCGTATACCATCTAACCAGGTCACAGAAAATACAGAGCCAAATTCTCCTTCGCCAATTTTTTTTAATATAATTTAGCTTATGACACCCTCATCTAATAAATCTAAGTTGAAACTTTTTTATGCAATTATCGATATGCTTATTTCCACTTGTCCATTCTCGAATTGTTATGTCAGGATCACATGTCTGACACCATGATCTCTTCGTGTTATATTCATTACAATGTGTACATTTTCCGTAACTTGAATTTCTTTATAATTATTAATTGTATTATGTATGCGGCGGGAGAAGTAGATCGAGAAATTTGTTTGCCGAAGACTATTGTGTCGAAGTGGGAAAGGGTGTCGAAAAACGACTTTTCTTTGTTGGCTGTTTATATATCGTAGTCGGTGGCTTATCTATCGCGTATTTCTGGTTGCGTGTTGATCATTAATTGATTCGTTCTTTGCGACCCATGCCATTCATCCCGTGATTTGAGGGCAAGGGTTGTAGCACGTGGCGTGTAACCCGACCATTTCTTCCCGATCCGTTGACTCTTGTCAACATGCATGAACTTAATAGCTTATTTTAAAATACCTTGATTAATAAATAATTCTTTATACTTACGGACTAAGTTAATTTGAATAAACCGATTTTGAATTATTTAAATAGAAATTATCATTGCAAACAAATGATTTTTATAATTCATAAAACTGATCATTATACTTACTCTCTAAAGGATTGTAAAATTCAAATGAATTACACTGAAATAAAAATTTTTAATCCGATTAATAGGGGGTTTAAAGTTAACAAATAAGTGACGCATTTCAAAATAAATAGGATTTTTCAATAGTATTTTTACTATGTTGAATTATAAACCGGGAAAATAAAATGAGATTCTCTGATTTTAACTTTGAAACCCCTAATATATTTGTCTATACTCTTTTCCACACCAAATCCGCAATAGTAACAAATGGCAGTTTTCTAAATTCCCATAGCACTACCAACCTCAGCAGACTTTATATAATGTACAAACGCTTTGCGCTTATCTATTTCAACCCCAATTCCTAAATGATAACAATAACCAACTTGATACATTCTGTTAGGATTATTCATTTCTGCTGATTTTTGATAATGAATGAATGCCTTATTCTCATCCTTTTCAACACCAATTCCATATTCGTAACAATATCCAAGCCAGAATATTCCATCTGGATCATTTACATCAACTGATTTTTGACAATCGATAATTTCAGTTGATTAAAAGCATTAGTGTGTTTAATAATGGGTTATCGTCTTTTGTATTTGACTTTTATGCCCAAACCACTATATCAATATGTAAATTTGGTCAATTAAATACTGTACATTCGTACGTGCTTACAATACGCAGCACCTAATTAATCAATCCATACACGTTAGTCGATTAAATTAATACTACTATATACTAAAGAAATTTTATAGATCTAAAATGAATATTAAGTCTGCAATGTCATTTGCGTTAACATAGTACTAATGATTAAATTTTATGGCTCGGCTAAGCCGTTAAATTTTTATTGGCTTTAGCCGCTTAGCTAATGATTTCGCGGATCGTAATGAAATCGGATTAAAATGAAATGAGAGTTTCTATTTAACCCTCTAAAACCCACTTATACTTGTTTATTATAAATTCTGCGGCTTGTCTGTTTTTTACATTGTATTCATTTTAATCCCGTCACACTTAATATTTAAATTTCGTTAAAGTTTAGGAATAAAAAATAACTGGCATATTTGTAATATAACTGATAAAGCTACATAGGCACCTTCTTGATACATAATTTCATATTTAACAAATTTGGCATAAGTATTGGTTATTATGATTAGCCGACTAACAATACTATCTGCCAGATAAGAAACTAAGTGACTGGCCAAACGGTAGGTTAATCAGCTTGAAATACTATACAGTTGATCAGGAAGTATGAAAAAAATTCTGTGCCCATCATCGGTCACATGATAACAGTGCAGCAAATCGAATTCGACATAATGCTAGAGATAGAAACTGCCCTATCATCACAAACGTCGGTTATTCTTAAATATTTTTTAATCAAACTTATAAACTTAGGTATGACTCTGCTTTTTTGATGTTTAAAGACGAATTTCGAATTTTACGGATCGGTAGAATTCGTTAGAATGCACATAAAACATTTGACTATTTTTTTTTAGTGGACAAGTCGATTGGCTGCAATATTATTATGTGATGAATGATTGGCAATAATTTTTAAGCGCCTTTTTTTAACTAACCAGCCAAAATAATTAAATTTATATTGGCATATAATACTTTTAAATTTATTAGGAATATACAAGATATATAGTTATTATTTAATCTAAAATAAATATTAAAAAAATTTTTTTTAAATTAAATATAATTAAATACCCTTAACTGTATATTTTTGAATAAACTTTTAAAGAAATGTTAAAATTAAATCAATTATAAATAATAATGATGAGTAATAAATTTACGCCTTTTAAAGCAATTAATTCAATAATCTAAATACCAATATAAAATAAGTAATAAATTTATCTAATTATAAATACTGTAAGCTAATATAATACTTTACTTCAGCAGAATCGATAGGATTACTTTCTAATGTTGCTATTATAGCATAATTGGTTTTAAATGAATAAAATATATAGAAAGTTTTGGTAAGATAATTGGCAATGTTTTGATTATTTTATCAGCGTCTAGGAATTGCTTTTTAATTTCATTTGTATCATCTGAATCTTTCATGATTTTATTCCATTCTAAAAGTTTATCCCAAACTTCAAAAGCAGGAGGTCGTGCAATCCATTACAGATCTTTACTGCAAGTTCATCAAATTCATACCCATCAAAAGGTATTTGTCCAATTGACATTTCCGATATAATGACTCCGAAGCAAATATCATAAACTTCTGTCCCAATAGAACCTCTGGAGCGATATAAAGCAAGACTCTATAAATACCGCCTTCTAAATCATTTTCATCTGTCTTTTTAGACATTCCTAGATCTGAGATGTAAGATCGCAGATTTTTACTAATGCCTTCATCTTGCAAAATATTACCACTGTGAAAATCTACATGAATATATCCTGCTCTGTGATTACAAATAAATCGAATAAAAATATCTAGAAGCAGTTTTAATTTGGTTCGCCAAGTAAGATTTTGAAAATTGTTTCTTGAAGATCTCCATTATCGGCATATTTGAAATACCATCAAATATTCGTTTGTTTCTGTGCTTTGAGTCAGTCCATATATATTAGTAGAGTCTACATTTCATATGATTGTCAAACATTGTAAATTTATAAAAATAGGTTAGTTCTTTACTTAGTGTACCTCCTTCAAAAAATCATGAAGATTTTCTATAAGGCCTTGAGTGCAACAGTGATAGATGTTTCACGCGACCTTACATATCTATCACTATCAACAATGCTTTTAATCTTCCGTATACCATCTAACCAGATCGCTGAAAATACAGGGCCAAATCCTCCTTTGCCAATTTTTTTTAATATTATTTAGTCTATCAAATGGAATCCATTCAATCATTTCTTCATAATTTATCAGTTCTAAGTTGATACCCTTTGATGCAATTATCGATACCTTTATTTCCGTTTGTCCATTCTCGAATTGTTATGGAGGGGTCACATGTCTGGCGTCATGCTTCTCGCGTGTTATATCATTACAGTGTATACATTTTCCATAATCTGAATTTCTTTATGTTATTTATTAGTTGTTTGTGTGGCTTTTAAATCGAACACAAATGATTTTATGCTTACCGACTAATTAATGCGAATAAAATAAAATTAAACAGCAATGTTCATGAACTTGAATATTTTATTTTAAATAATTTGATTAATAAGTACACAATATTGGGCAAAAATTGTCGAATAACTATTAATTATTCCACGTCTCATTATGATCGCATGACGGGGATTTACGTGTTATTAATCATAATTTTTATCATAAAATTTTTTCTTTCTTTTTTTTTCTTATTTGTTATTTCCATGGGGTGATAACAAATAAAGCCGGGGTGATAACAGGAATTTGTTATTTCCCGAAAAGTTAAAAATATAAAGGGAGACAAAGAAAATGATAAAAATGATTAATAACACGTGTCCCTGTCATGTCGTCATATGAAACGTTGAATAACTCATTTATTCCGCCGTGCCGGGGAAATAATTAAAATATTTCCCCAGCGTCGCATTATGGGGCGCAAAGCGCCCCACATATGCTGCTGGGGAAATATTTCATTATTCCCACCGTCCCGGGGAATAAATAGTACTTATACTCACAAAATAAATTGAATATACTCACGTACTAAATAGAATAAATATTCATGAACTTGGAATAGCTTATTTTAAAATACTTATTAACAAATGTTCTTTATACTCACATACTAAATTAATGCGAATAAAATTAAAGAGTAAATATTCA